TACATCCCATTGGTCAGTTCCAATCCTGACCCGAAAGGACACTTGGCAATCCAAGTGTCTTGAATCACTGGCTCTGCGACATCCGCAGCAGCACCATTCATTTGACATGAATGGCATGACTGGCGCGCAGCCGCGCGCCAAGGAAACCAGCTCGGAGATAGCTAGTTCTCTCAGTTAACAATATACCTTGTTCTACACACCTTCCTCTGTGCGCCCCATTACAGGTAACGTAAGCAACTACGTGCGGTCTCAAACGTTGAAGGTAGCTGGGATCGCGAAGTACATGAGAGGACCGTATGTGACCGTTCAGTTGTGCCTCACCACCACAGAGAAACACGAAGTTAACGATACATGCAATTCTGCGCAATAGTCGAGCCACGAAATCATACTACTTCGAAAATAAACTCGAGGAAATTAGTTAACGGAAACACTACCGTATAAGACTGATGGAGTGCGGTCGGATATCATTTCTTGAAGGAGTCAACCGTAGAATGGTGACATTGTAATTAAGTTGACCATAAGGCGACGACCACGAGACCTCGGCACTTCAGTGCATTTCACCAACCCCTCAAACCCCCCCTCCCCCGAAGTTATACGTCACCCGACGCCCTCCAAGCGAATGGTGGGTGCTATTTGACCAAGTGCTAATTCCGTGCACTTCGTCGTAGGCATGTGTCGTCAATGGCAATCTCCGTGGGGGGCAGTATGTGTCCTTCAAACGGTCCCAAGTCAAGACACACCGCCGAAAGTCATTCGATGCGATTCTCGAAGGCTACCAGTGTCAATGAAGGAATGGCGATCTGCATATATATATATATAGCCAATGCATTATATACATGCAGTTCCACGAGCTTCGAATGGAGTACTGGTAGTGCTTGTGGATAGATTGATTGAACTTTTTGAGTGATTTGTAAACATCGTGTATATCCTGCAAATGACAGGACTTACATGAATTCTTGAACCAAATGGTACGTAGTAATGGACCATCATTGTCATATTCGTCTTGGTTAATGTATACCGATAATCGAGTGAATGTCTTCACCTTCAAGGACAGAATAATCAATGTTGCCAGCACGTCAAAATGCAGTGGACTTTGAACCTTTTCACCACGAACCAAACTCGCCCTTGACTTCGCGACAAGGCGTCCAAAGCAAGCTGTAAATGGAGTAGAATTTTCTTCGGATGGCCAAGACCTGTCGAGTTTGAAGTTGACACGACCCCGCAACCCCCCCCCTCATGTGCCAAGCAAAACGTGCCCGTCCAAATCCCACTCGAGTACCAACGCTTGAAGACAAATTGTGTGGGGGGCGTGAACGTTCCATACACTCGGCGCCAATGCCGCCGTCGCCAAGGTCGAATGGCTGTCTCTGATTGCATTCCCGAAGCAGTCGACAACCAAGCATTGTACACGTCAATCAGCTGGCGCCAAAGCACATTTTAGGAATAGTACTGTACCTGAAAGTTTATTTTTATTGACTAGCAACTCCTACTGTAGCATTATTACTGTACAGTACAGTACGGTATTGTCGAATCTGCTGATGTACCGTATGATTCATTCACTCGGGTGGTTGGTTGCATTCTACTTTTAGCTTTTTGCAGCAGGTACAGTGACTTGCAGTCAGTCATCTTGTTGCAGGAAGTTATCACAAACATCTCATGTCCTGTACACATGGATGGTGGAGGAGTGTAAAGCAACACACACCAACAATTAACGTTACTGAATGTTGTTCCTGCGTGGACCATCAAAATTCAGCGCTGACAACCAATTACCTATGGTTTCATTTCGATCGTGTCAGACCCATCTGGTACGGTTGGTGTAAAGGTTTGCGGTTACATGTTCAAACTAGGCAATGTCCTGATCGAGCTCGTTGCCAAACGACAGGCCAACCACGCAAGACGGCGAGCTACAGATACCTTCAGCGTGTAGTAGGAGCCAATAAAGCTCTTACTAGTGTCTAGCTGTAATGTAGCTTCATTTAGCCAGGTATATCATCGTCATCTCGTACATTGTTGTTGTAGGATCAGGACAACCTCAGGATCAATACAATTATTACAGTTGTGGACAGGATCTTTTTGCCATGTGAGCCAGATGAAACCTCAATGGTGATTGGCCCATTTAGTGACGTCGCAAATACAAAAATCAAGCTTGGTCGTCGCACGTGGATTGTATTAGAAGCTTCGATTCATTATCCATTTTGACCTATCAAAAGACAATGAACTTAAAGCAGCTCTTCGCGACTTCCTTGCGCAGCAGCACCAAGCAATGCCATCCATTTGAACTGAAGCCTCAGGCGGCAACAACTTCGTCGCGGCACTGGGGCATCTTCGGCCGACACCAAGCTAACAAAAAAATGACGCCGGTCGTGGAAACCACCCCGCAAACCACCCCTGAATCCAGCCCCGTCCACCACTTCCCACTGTTCATCGACACGCCCTCTGCAACCGCCGTCGGCGTGTTGATTCCGCAAGAGTACCGGTACCAACGCACCAACTGCGTCGGCGGCAAGAACGTCCCATTCACCCGAAGGCAGGTCAAGGTCAAGCAACGACGAGTTCGTCGCTACCCCACGATCCCCGAAGAGGACAGCGCTACGATTTACTCGGAAGCGTAGGATCAAGCCATTCGTACGGTTCAATGTTGTAAAATATAGGCTTATTTATGAGTACCATGTTATTGACCACCGAAGCCACGGCGAGTCTACGACACAATGTGCGCTCACTGCATTGACTACAGTGTGCCCTGTATTGACTCCCCATCGCCATGCTCCCAAGGTCCACTTCCAGAGCTCTCTCTCAATCCCAGGACAATCGGAAGGTTCCTTGGGGTACGGTCGCGGATGTCTTGGGCGTGTCGACGACGGACGTACAGTACATAATCACAGTGTACTACAGTGGTTGTCGTTGTCTGGTGGCCTGGCTCATTATCCGGATAAATGACGAAATTGAATACACAACGAACGACCAACTACAGCATCATATAATACTCGGAAGTTCAAGCAAATTGGGGCGTCCTTTCGCCACGTACAACTGAAAGGAGGGCTTTCGATAGAGCCCTTGCTTTCCTACTTCTACTACAACGTGTAGCCTTGAAACGACTAGTGAATCACTAGATATGGCATCAATTAGAAATGTATCTACAGAGGTAAACACGAGGCATTTACCTTGATTTTAGTATATCACGTCTCTTCCATCCCATTCAGAAATCTCAACCGGACTCATTCACATCACCATACTGACTTCGAGTAAAAAATCACCGCCGATTGCAAATTTCGTAGCCTTGTCCATTGTGACATTATTATTCATCCGAAAAATGCACCTCGAACTGCCGTCGTCACGATGGTGGCGTTCGCTTGGGTTGGTTCCACGGCACACAAAGAGTGATAAGCCCCCTGAGAAGTCCAAGACGTCGTTCTTTAAGTGGCGGCGCCAGTCCACCGTCGGCGTGGCCGACGACGACGAATCCACGCCGCCGCCTCCTCCCGCGATCTCTAATAATGTCGTCGCTCCACCTGCGACGGACGTAGTAGAGGTCGAGCCACCGACGAAGCGAATGCAAGTCCCCGTGGCCATCCCCCTCGAGTACTTGTACAAGCGGGAGACGTTCGTAGGCGGCAAGAAGGTCCCATATACAAGACTGCACGCAAAACAAAGGCGGATGCGACTCATCATCTACGACCGCATTCACGAAGACAAGCCAATCCTTGTCTTTTGATGGCCAGTTCAAGTGTCACCACCGGGAGGAATGGAATCGACAAAGATGTGGCGACGGCATGCGCCAACTGTACTGTACATAGCGCTGCCCCCCCCCATCCCAAGGGAGTTGGCATGTTCAAATGTGCAGATATCACGTAGATAAAATATGCATGTATTATTTATAACAAGGGTGGAATTACCAGAATATTAAGTCAAGTGCGCGATTTCCAATTCTACGATCGTTCAACCGCTCTCGACAACAGTCTTGATTGCACTTGATGCAAACAACTCCAGTGGCCAATTATTCACAGTATGGACGACTTACTGTATGTACTACAGTACAGTACGGAGGTGGCTGGCTTCGTTGAGTAGAGACGGACGGCATTATTTATTGTATTACTGGTACACATATGTACTCGGCTGCATCGATGGTACATAGAGGTAGCTCTGTACATAGTAGATGCATGATTCGATTGATTCATGTGGGATGCTTGCGGTTGCCATGATTATCACGACAAAGCTGGTTACTGTATGTCCTAGCTTGTACTGTACGGTATGTCTCAACGTACGTACAGTACGTATTCCTTTCAAGTACATACAGCTGTCGGTATGTTGATAGCCTTGTAAAAGTGTACAGTGAGTGCTCTATAGATTTGGGTTGACTCCACAGTGGGGCACATCATCGGAACGATGCAACTAGTACAGGCTGATTCGATAATCTAATGTTACTATATTATATGGGGCGAAACGTCATGCGTTCACGACAAAGTACGGCTTGTACTCGTACGAGAGTTTGATCGACGGCAACTTGTTGGCGTGGGGACTGGTCTTTAGCGCCGAGTGGCCAAACTGGGGCGACAGCGCGGAACAAATATCCCGCATAGACGGTTTCGGCATGATAATGGTCGGCTTGTTGGCGAGCGACACGAGGGACTCGGCTGTGATGGCGCTCTCCATGTGCTTGGAGCAGAACCCACTGAATCGGGCGTGCGAGTCGCATCCGCCGTGCCTGCACTTCTTCCCGCCGCCGTGGCGCACGCATTTCTGCCGCGCATGGGCTTTGTTCATGCAGCCTTCTTCCGCACATTCCTTCATCGTGTACTTGTCTCCGTGCTTGCAGCAAAAGCCGCCATAGCGGGCGAACCCTTCGCAGTCGGGGAACTCGCACGGCTTGCGCGCGCCGTGGCGGACGCATAACCCGCGGGCGTACACTTGATTCCGGCACTCGCTGACGCTGCAGATCCCTTTCTTGCGATGGAACGCACACTTTTGCGTGCCGGGGCGGACCTTTTCCTCGCATCCGTTAAAGTGGCATGTGTTCATGACGATGTGGTGGGATGCGGGTGCTTCGCGGTGAATGTACGAGTGCGGTGGTTCGATCACACGCGTCAACAGTTTCGAGAAAATCAATTTTGGCCAATCAAATGCAGCCAGCACCCCCCCATCGCTCAACTTCAATTGCACAAACCCATCACTTTGCACTTGGAACGGCGTACTTAACAGGACAACGTAATGGTTCAACCTTGCCGCCGTTGGACACTTGAGCTTGCATGTCTTCTTTACTGGTAGGTGACCGTGATATCGGCCTCTTGTGTGCGTGTGGTGGGTCTGTGTGGTCGAGTTATGGTGCGAGTATTCGCTGCTCGACATTCGTGTACCAATAAGTCCTACCAGTCGACATTCATGCTACTGTACTAGTACCGTACACTGTTGCACCTATATCTAACAGAATTTCTGACCAGGCCATACAGTTGTTCGTACGAAAGGAACCTCAGTGAACAATTGGCTTACGTGTGATGGCAGTTGGCTAGCTTTCTTCAGCATTTATCCATGGTTGGAGCATATCGGCTCGGGTGGAAAGATCAAACGAGGCCCGGCCCTCACAGCGGCGCTTTAGCAGGTCGTACAGCACGATCGCCCCACACATTCCACGGATTGGAGATCGTACTTAAGAGTTCGACAATTACATTACATGTTGTTCACGGATTCTTGTCGCAGGTGATGTAAACCAAACTTAGAAAGCGATTGGATTGGACAGTAAAGTTAGAACCTCGAACTCTACTAACCAATCAGGAAGCAACTCGTCCGCCTTGACTTGGCTAATGTAAGAAGATGGCTTTGTGGATGTATGAACTGTCAATTGCCGTATGCAACCTGGACCGTCGCATCAGACAAATCGTTCGTGGTACAATTCCCTCATTAAAACAGCTCCACTGTTGTATTGACCCAAAATACTGTTTCAATGCGATTTATATGGAATATTGTATGGTCAGACCACCTCACAGCTTACTAGGGGTTAAGTGCATCTCAGTGGTTAGCGATTTCTAACCACTAGCGATGCAGTTAACCACCGGAGATTTAGCATCGTATGTACTCACCGGGGGTAGGACGGAGTCCCAGGTTACAGGGTTACTGGAGAAAAGGTGTATCCGGATGTATTAATTCCCTCATTGAAACAGTATTTCGGGTCAAAACAACAGTGGATCAGCTTTAATGAGGGAATTATTCTAGTTTGTGAGATGTCGCTCGACTTTGTTCTCATGTGTTCAGAAGGAGTATTTGGGATCGACATCATATCTTTATATCGTTCCAGCCGATCTTATCCACAAGCGTTCCCTGCAGCAGCTACGTGAAGCCCATACACGTGCACCGATTTGTAAGCAGCGTTGGGGCCCTCGGGAGCTTCGTTGAAATGGACGACGAACGAAAACGAACAGGCCACCCATTATAGTCGTACCATATGGTCACAGACTAACAAATCTCAAACAGTCGCACTGTCATTCAGTGGGGGTCCCATATCTCCATTAAGTACGGTATTTGTAGAGCGAGCAGCTGTACTTGAAATATATAGGACAATTATGTAAAACAATACAATCTAAATGCACCCACTATTTGTCATACAAATATTGTATACAGGCTGAATTAGTTGTACGCAATTATATACCTGACATTGCGTCGTTCCCACCTTGACATGTGCCATCAACTACGTCATCTCTTAGACGCCTGGTATTGGTTAATTTGACGCACAATACATCCAATGGCATGTTCTGGATTCCAATTCTGCGATGCCATTGGGCCATCCGTTCAAAGCGAGATGCAAGTTGCCTGAAGATTGCAGCCACGGAGCTTTGAGTGCCCCATGTTGTCGTCGACGCGTCTGCCGCGATCCGTAGGACACGCATTATGGCGCCGGGCGTTCTCTACCGCGCCGGAGCTGAAATCCCCTGCGTTGAATCTGCGCAAGAATGTGTTTGCCGAGTTTTCGGGGCTTGCCGTTGCCCACAACTCGCTCAACCTGGGCCAAGGCTTCCCATCCTATGGCACGCCTTCGTACGTTACCAAGCTTTCACCTTGCATCTGCCTCCGTCAGTGGACCGACGGATTTGCTCATGTTATTTGTTCTCTTTTGCGTAGGTTTATGAAGGAAGCTGCGATCGAGTTCATTCAGCAAGAGCAAAACCAGTACACCCGGCCGGGTGGCAATCCGCAGCTGGTCAAGGTTTTGGCAGACGTGTACTCGCCGTGGTACAAGCGTGAGCTGAACCCCATGACCGAGATCGTCACGTTCACCGGCGCGCAAGAGGGCATTTTCTGCATCTTCTTGTCGCTGCTGTCCCAGGGCGACGAGGTGCTGGTTATCGAGCCTTTCTTTGATGCGTACATCAACATTGCGCTGCTCTTGGGCGTCAAAACGGTGGGTGTGCCGTTGGAAATGAACGCCGCGACCAAGGCCAAGTACAACGATCCGCACTGCTACGACAAGTTTAGCTCCAAGGACTTGACCATCGACCTCGCCAAGCTCGAAGCGTCCATCACGCCCAACACAAAGATGATCGTGCTCAATACGCCCCACAACCCCACGGGCAAAGTCTTCTCCAAGGACGAGCTGGAAGGCATCTTGGGCGTCCTCGACCGCCATCCGCAGGTATGTACAGCAATGACCTCGCACGATGTATACAAGTGTGTGTTCATCTGAGGTTGGTTTGGAGTACACAGATCATCATTCTGTCGGACGAAGTGTACGAATTTGCGTGTTTTGATGGGACCCCCCACGAGCGCATTGCCACGTATGACGGCATGTTTGATCGGGTGATTTCGCTTTTCAGCGCCGGCAAGACGTTTTCATGCACGGGTTGGCGTGTGGGGTACGTGTTCGTGTGCCATGCGCTTATTGCCACGTCATAACCTGGATCGTTGTATGTGTGTGTGCACGGCAATATGCAGGTATGCGATTTTGCCCCAAAAGTACGCCGACCTCGTGGCCAAGACCCACAGCGCGATCCCATTTTGCGGTGCGTTGCCGTTTGAATTGGCCGTGGCCAAAGGGTTCCAAGCCGCGGCGACGAATGGGTATTTGGACCAACTGCCCAAGCTCCTCGAGGTAATATACCACTATAAATGCTGATCCAACACATATGGGCAAAGTGAGAGACACAAACAACATGTAGAAAAAGCGCGATACGGTCGTGGACGCGCTCGAGAAGGCCAACTTAAAGCCGATTGTGCCCGACGGCGGGTACTTCGTGTGCTGCAACGTGTCGAGTTTGTCCTCGTACGACGAGTTCAAGCACTTGGAGACAGTCGAGAACCTCCCCGCCGAGGTGACTGCTATGATGATAGACATGTGTTTTATATGCATTGAGCCAACATGTGGAAATTTGTGTATTCCCCAAATCTCCACCGGGCGATTTGTTGTACTGAATTTGGGATGGCCAATTTGTGCGATCATGCACACTATTTCAAGTCACAAACACACTAATTTGAGCTACTTTTTCAACGTGATCTGTCGATTTGATATTCTGTTCATCGATTGAGAGTCGAATCGACAAGATCCACCACCACTCGTCAACATATTAACCGTGGTGTCCAACCAGGAACGCCCCGACTACCAAATGGCCAAGAAGATGTGCATTGAGCAAGGCTTGACGGTGATCCCAACTTCGCCATTCTACTCAAACGTGAGCAACCAGCCGTCGCCCGCATTGGTGCGCATTGCATACTGCAAGGACGACGCGACGATCGACGGAGCTGTCAAGTTGATCGAGTCATTCAAGCAACAACCGTAGCGTTCTACTGCAGTCGGATCGAGTTACATGGATACTAGTACTCCGGAGTATCAAGCAAGCATGACTGACGCTCTTGGCTTTGCTGAACGTATGTTACTCAACCAAGGCAAGACTAAATACTACGTACGATACTATTACAATTTGGACTTTAAGTGACTGTGGATGCTTTGGGCTGCCGTGTCGGATATCCACGGCAGCATGCGCTTCCAGTGCATCGGATTGAACCGCGTGTTCATTTGCAAGAGAGTCGTCACAGGCAGGTTTGGAAACCGAGACGCCAGCGCCTGCTGCCCCCCAAACGACAGGTGCGGCACTGCGTGGAAGAGCTGCCATCGGTCCACAAAATGCGGATCCTTGCCTCTGTTGTGCTCGTACTGTACTAACCCGTGGCCTTGCTTGGCTTCTTGGCTATCACAACATATAGTCCAATATAGTGAACTACCAAACACTCGACAATCATATAGTAAGCTTACCTAGCAATCTCAAGCACCAGCTGTAACGTGTGCGCAGGGTCTTCTGTCCACACGATCTCCATGCCAGAGTACTTGGCCGCATACGTCAAGCATTCTTGCCTGGCTTGGGGCGATACCTACTCGTCAATATTATATCATCACATTGACATGAGCAACGAAAAAATCGCGGCCGTCGTGTACTTGCGGAGTGGACTGCACCAGATACGTGATACTGCCAAATGCAGCCAGCACGTTCAAATGGGGGCATTGCGATGATGCATGTAACAGACTGGCGAAGTCGGAGAAGGACACCACTAGCAGCGCGCGTCGGGCACTGAGTAAGAGATCGCACTCGAGTGATGGCTCGGGGACTTTGGGCAGCGCGTCGTGGCCAAACACAGCGAGCAGAAGCGCCGACGACCGGATGCGGGGATGGTACGCAATGGAAAACTCGACTCGGGGGGGGGTAGCCATCACGTTGAACGACGGCAACAAGTTGAACGACGGCATCTCTGGAGTTGTTTCAGCCGGGTCGACGGTGACACTTGGGGGTAACGTCGGCGTGGGGCGGCGTGTCGTCATCGTTGGCTCTACCATCAACGAGAAGTTGGGAAGCAGAGGAATCGACTGCGGCGGCGCCCCCTCTGCGGCACTTGGACGCCCTCCAATGGGTTGTTGTTGTTGAAGTTGTTGCCGACGGTTCTCGTCAAGTCGCCTTCGTGTCCGCTCCAGCGCCTTTTTCCTGCTTTCTTCCATACGTGCGATTTGATCGGCGGTCAAGTCGGCAGCAGCCATCGGTTGCTGAACGGATGGTTGCTGTTGTGGCACTGGAACTTGGGGCGCCCTGGCACCTCGTACATCGTCGGGTGGTCCGTGAACCACTCGGTTCTCATGTGTCGGACAAGGTGATCTTGTCAGGCCGGGGCTTTGGGGCGGTGGGGGGGCAGAAGTCGCCACTGCCACGACGACGCGACCTGGCGGAGACGGCCCAGCTTGACACGCATCGATTGGTGTGAATATGTGGCTTTGTGGGTGAAAGTCCTCTCGCGCGCTGTAGCAGCACATGCACAAATTGTACTGTGGACAGCGCTGGCAGTTGTATCGCACGCCTTCGATGGGGTGCAACTGGCACCCGTCGCACGAAATCCCATGATGCAGCAGCCCTTCGTCGTCGATCACACTCGTGTCCATGACATCATGGATGCCCTCGTCGTGGCGTTGCAAGCAAGCAGCGACGATGCCATCCCGCGGCAGGAAGCGCGACACGGCGAGCGCGGGGGACTTCGAGTCGCGGCGGCGGTAGATGGCTTGCATGGACGACGGCGACAGAAACTGCGTGGACGACGGACTTGCGTCGTCGATGAAGCTGCTGTGGAGCCCATGTTCGTCATCCTTCTCGTCTTCTTCGTCCGACCCATCGTCCTACCATTGAAACATGCAAGCTGACCAAGGCATCGTTTTAAAGCAATGTCAAGATATATGTCATATATATATATATATTTATTTATCTATATGTATCATCTATATATATATATTTATTTATTTATCTATATGTATCATCTAAATATATATATATATATTTATCTATATGTATCATCTATATATATATATATATATATTTATCTATATGTATCATCTTTATATATATATATATATATATATATATATATATATGTATCATCTATATATATATATATATATTTATCTATATGTATCATCTATATATATATATATATTTATCTATATGTATCATCTATATATATTTATGTACATGTATATATATTAATATATGTACATGTATCTATGTATTCACACATTGCATACACTACTAGTAGTCTCAGTCATACCTCGTCGTCGTCAGCCTGCATCTCAATATAATGCGAAATCAGCTGCTTGGACGCTTTGCGTTTTTTGGTTTTGTGGCGATTGGAAGGCGACTGATCTAGTCGGCGTCGTGTTGACGTCTTGCTGTCGCCCGCGCGTAGCCGCTTGCGCTGTTTCCGCGGGCGTGGGTCGGATCCAGGGGTCGCTTGGCTCATGTACACGCTACCACTCTGGTTGGACATGTGCGACGGACACAGCACAACAAACTGCGCGTGTTCGATCCCTTCCGCCTACTTTCGTACGTCACGCATATTTCTCAAAAGCAACCATTTGGGTGTTATTTTACTGTACTTGGACCAGTTGGTACTTGGCACTGGACGCACATGACACGTGGAACGCTCTCAGGCACGACCTGTGGGCACACTGGACGATTCCAAACCCGTGCGCAGTGCGACATACTTCGCACTGTAACGCAAATCGTTCGGCATCCTATCGAAGAAAGATATACCCATATAAATATATATATATATGTGATGGTCCAAATTCCCAAACAAATGCCATATATATATATATATATATACGCAGCTACAGGAAAAGGGTATATATACATATACTAGTATTCTTTACCAGGGTTTCCAATGAGCCGAGTTCGATGGTTCTTTCCGCTGGTTGGATCCGCACGACAAGTTCCGGGATCCTACGTTGTTGTTGATTCAAACTTGTCAACTTAATAGAATAACTGGACCACAAATAGCATTGCACGTGGACCCATTGCTGGCACTTGGTTTTTTTCAACGCGCCCTTGCGTTCGGGACAGAGCACGCACTTGGTGGGCTTGGACTTGTCCTGGCACGCCTACCTCATCCATCCATTTATCAGCGTCAATATTGCCAACACCACCAGATGACATTTCAAGCAACACACAAACGACGTACGTCACAGAACCAATCGTGGGGGGGAATCACGCGGACGCCGTAGCAATGCTGATGCACGGCCACATTGCACCCGTCGCAGTAGAGAATCGGGTCCGTCTCTGACGATTCGTCATCTCCGCACACTTGGCAGTTGTCTTGCAGGGGGGTGCCTGGGGTATTGTAGCTCTGCGTTGTCGTCGTCGACGGAGGCTGCTGGTTTGTTCGTGGAGGCGTTGGTTCCATCACAAACTCGTCGTCTTCGCCGAACGCCGCTCCCTCCCCCCCAACCGCCGCCTTCTTTACATGGGAGGGGGTATGGGGGGTCGCCTCTCTAGAAGGCGGTGTTGGGATCATGTTCAAGCGGTCGCCTGTATGTGTGGCAAGTGGACCGATCGACCGCTTTCGCTTGCCATTGGCCATCGCCGCATCCTTCGTTGGCACCGACGAGTTGGCTGTTAGATTCGATCGTGGCCGAGCACTTGCCGACGTCATTTTCACTTCACTCGGTGGTGCTCTGTCAAAGGAGGTTTGGACTGTCATATCTACTGTCGATGACAACGTAGGCTTGGATTTTGTGGTCGACGCATGTCCATCTTTGCGAGAAGTAATGGGGGGACATGGAACGTGTGGCTGTGCTGCGTTGTGTACACCATCATCCGCCATCGTTGGCATCGCGTAGTCGTAGTGAACATGCGAACATGAGGAAGCAAACTGAAGCGATTTCTTCGGATCGTTCGTCGGGGCGGTCCTTAACCCATTAGATCCAAAGACTTCATCCATGGTCGGCGTTGGAGGCATGTCGGCGGCTGGAATGCCAGACGACATGTCGAAAGAGGAGGCCGCCGCGTCTGTTTGTTGGCTTTTCCTTGGCGCTTCGGGCACGACGTCGTCTCGGGTACGAGGTGGGGGGCGGACGGATGGGGCGTCAAACAATCGAGGAAGGGGCTTCCGGGGCGGCAGAACTACCGGCGGGTGTTGGGGTGACAGCGTGGGGGATTTCGGCGTCAGTTGGCTGCCGCCTTGTTTGCCTTCGGGGGACGCCACTTCCTGTGCCGCCAAGCGCTCCAACATGGCAATCACTTGCTCGCCTTGCTGCATCACGCCCACAGATGTGTCTAAGCTCATGGTGGTGGTAGGACTCTTGCTTTTCAAACTGGACGACATCAACGAACATGCGACGACGGCAGGGGTTGGTGTCTTGGCCGGTGGTGACTTCGAGATCTTGATCGGTTTTGCGGGGCTGCTGGTGGATGCTACACGGTAGTAGTGCTTGTCTGGCTTTGGAGACGACCCCCCCGGTCGACTGAAAAGCGGAAACACTCGTGACGTCGGCTGCATCTGTTTCACAACCTTACGGTCCTTGTCTGACGCAACAGAAAGACTGTCGACGTCTGCTTGTTTCAAAGAAGCAGGGGATGCCGCCGTTGATTCTGGAGACGATGTAATGTCAATCACGAGCTGCTGGTTGTCGTTTGAGAGGTTGGGGGAGCGACAGCCGTCGTGGGGTACACTGTCGTCAAAGCTCAAGGCCACGCCATCGTCAAAGCTCAAGGGAGACGACATACACGATATGTTGTCATCCTCTTTCACATTGTCGGCTTTATAATGACCTTCTTCGTGCCAATTCTGGCCGCCAGTGTCTTCTTTCTGCGCCGCCACCGCGTGGTGGAATCGATGCTGAAACTCGGCGTTGGTCATCCGATCCCCTTCGTGCACGCGGTGCATGAGCTGCAGCAAGCACCGCGATCGTGTCGACTTGCCAAAGTGATGCGGTTTCGACATGTCCGACAGACGCAGTGGCACCATGAGCGACGTAAACAGATGGGAACGACGCGTGTACTGCCCCGGAAGCTCATGTTTGAGGCGTAGGATTGCGTTCTATGGTTATAGGCTCATGTCAGCACATTTGCATCATATGGACAACCACGTGTGGACGGTACACCTCGTCTTCGGTCAAGTGCCAGTCGGGTGCTGCTGTTGTTGATGGCTTAGTGGCGCCGCCGCCGCCCCCCTTCTTGCCCCCGATCAGAGACGCCTGAAACGTCGGCACGACCATGGCGCTTTCCGTTAATTGGGGTACAATCCCAGTAGGAATCTATCCAATCCATCACACATATATATATATATATATATATATATCAAACAGGTTGAGTGGACGACGACTATGGATTCGGCATCTCATATACACACACACAGGTCTATATATATACACTTGTAAAGCAAAGTGCCGATGTCATATACATTATTCGAGTTGGTTGTGTATCGTACGTACCATGCGTGCACTGGGTACACACTTGAACTTATCTTTGAAGATTGTGAGCGACCGATTCACCGACTTGGCCGCCGACACGCTGCGCTCGAGCTTCTTTTCTTCGTCTCCTTCTGTCACTAGCAGCACCACGCGCCCCACGCGCTTGCGCCCCGTGCGCCCCATCCGCTGGATCATGCTACGTCAAATATAGTTAGGATATCGTTAAATATAGTTAGGATATCTCGTTCGAGATAACAGCAAAAGAAATATGGAGTAGCGTACTTGAGCACATATAGAATACTACGTAGTAATAGGTGGTGCATCATATATATAGATGCACTACCTATATATAAATCAGGAAGGACGCATTTTTTATATTTCTATATATATATATATATATCAATCAGGAAATTCATACATCGCGAGGGACAGGTACATACATACTATAAATATATCTATATTCGGATATTATATATGTATATCAATCAGGAAGGTCATGTATATATAAATATTATTTACATACACATCAAAGAAGGTCATATATTTATATATATTATTTACATACACATCAAAGAAGGTCATATGTTTTTAAATGCAAAGAAGCAAGGAATGGACAGACATATATATATATATAGATATATCGCACCGGACGGGCGACGTCAAGCAGTCAAACGACACGATCAAGTCGACTTCTCCAATGTCAAGTCCTTCCTCGGCGATGCACGTCGCGACGAGTACGTTGAATTCGCCGTCTCTGAACTTGGCCACGACCTGCTGCTGCTGCTTCTGCGTCTGCCCCTTGCCGTCTTTGCCTTTGGCCGTGCCCTGGCCGATGAACTGCTGCACTTTGATCAGTGGCGCCATGGAGCTCAGCAGCGCCACGATCTCCGTCACGCTTTCTCGGTACTGCGTAAACACAATCGACCGCGTGCTGGACCCGCCTCGCTCGTGCCGCGTAAAGTGCTCGGACAGAACCACCTGCAGCTGCATGAGCTTGGGGTTGTTAGACGCCGTCCGCCCGCCGCCCACTTGAGTCTGGACCAGCGCCAACAGGTGGGCAAACTCGGGGGACTCGAGCACCATTTTCTTGGGCCTGGACGGATAATAAGATATGATATTTATGATATATATATAATAGTACGAGTACCCGGAAAAGCTTTCGTGGGAAAACTTGTCGAGAAAGGTCTTAAAGTTGCCAATGCCGTGCACGTTTAAAATGTCTTTGCCGTGGAGAAGACTGATCTACGCAAACACACAAGGGTCATCCAAGGAGCGTAATCATAGCTAGTACTACTAATACTACTATTAGATATAGAACTACGATAGGGGGTACCAAGAGGGCCAAGTCGGCTTCGGCGGTGCGGTATGGTTTGTTGCCTTGGGGGTTGGACCGCATCTTGTCTCGTGATGTGATGACTACCCATCGACTGAGCTTGTCTGGGTCTCGAATATGGAGCACCTGCAAACACAAGTAAGGCATGAGCATCATGCGCGAGTGGGTCGTTCGTGTCCACTCGTCCACAAGACATAGAGGGATGTATGAGGACTAGACAGCATCGACACGTCCCATACCTGACTCGTGCACAATCGATGCAAGACTGGCTGAAACAACTTGAGGTACTGCGTTCGAACCTACAATACCGTCCCCATCAAGCCATTCATTCTCATTCGAGTCAACGTACAAATATATATATATATATATATATATATATATCATG